TCCGGGGGAGCCCTGCCTTGCTCGGCCGTAATTCGCCGTTCCCCACTCTGTGGTCACCCCAGATCGTTACTTCAAGTACCTCGGTAACACTGACTGCCACTCCACGGCTGTTGATCGGCTGATTAGCAGACATCTCTGTTGCAGTAAAGCAAATTTTATGCCTGATTTAGGATTTCATTGCTGTTATGATAAAAGAAATGGAAACCTTTATTTTTTTTTCCCCCTAGTTCCCAAAAGATGGCACACAGTGATGCGGAAGGCTACAGCCAGTATCCTGAACCCATCTCCTGCCTTGCTGCGCCCTGTTCTCCCCCCAGCAGCGCCGGGCAGAGACAGAGCCTCCCCCCTCAGAGCTCCTTCCCCGCCGTGTTTGTACCTTAGCAGCCAGTATTTCTGTTGACTTTTCTCTAACGTTCCCAACTTCAGGTTCTTAAGTGAACCCTATGTGCCAGACGCACGTGTTACGGTGCCTTGACACAAATCTTTTAAGTCCTTTTAAAAGCCTAGATTCATTAATTCCTCCTTTTTGTTTTTGGTTTTTTTTTGTCAATAGGAGTGACAATGCGTAGATTTTTTTATTTTTTTTTTAAATTGCCATACCTTTACAATTGCTTATAGTATTACAACGATGTGAGATCCTTCACTAATACAGAAACAATTTTCTGGCACTTTAGTGAAAGCAATTTGACCGGCTAGGTAGACTATTTTGGCATTACAGTTTCATGTGAAAATAAAAGCGGTCTGTCTAGTGAGTGGTTATTGCTTGAAAAATCGTATGTAACTTGCATTCATGCGCTTACCGAATAGTGCAAAATGCCTGCTTATTCTTCTGCCTCTCATAGGAGCAATACAAATTATTCAAAGGAAGGAATGATAGAAAACAAAGCAATGAAAAAATACCAAAGGAAGCAGTTTTATGAAACATTGGAGTTGTCAGAAAATGACAGAAGATAGGAAATTCAAAGTTAAGACTGATACTCCCTCCACCAGTAGGTTGCTTTTTTCTCTGGTTTCATACTGGTGTGATTTGGGGATGAGATGTGTTGTCCGAGCTTTAAATTACCTGCCTGGGCTACTTTAGGTTATCTGAGGACCACAGAAAACCACTATTCAAAACCAGAGCTTTCAGTGATATTAAAGCAACTTGGATGTGCCAACCTGGGAGCACTCTCTTTACTTCCTAGTTTTCCAGAAGCTTGCATTACATCAACAGTAGTCACTTGAACTCTCTTCTCAGCCTGCAGTAGCCTACACTCGACTCTCCTGTTTATTGAATCTCGACACTTGCCTTCTCCACTGAAACGTTAGGCACGGTGTTGAGCGAAGCAGGGGTAGATCAGTCTGTGCAATGCTGTGCTTTGTTTCATTGTTATCACTACCTACTAAGTGGGTTGGGTTTTTTTTGGGGGGGGTGGGGGGCAGGCGGGATTTACTTTTATTTTTCTCCTGCTTTCATCCATATTCTTACATGGAATGAAAAGTACTTTTGATTCTTCTAATGGCAATTTTCTTTCTCTTTACTATCGGGAACAATATCAGCTGCTCTTTATTGGAACCGGGTGGGATCTGAGCCCGCCCGTGCCTCCCCAGACAGACAGTAGTTGGGCTGGGGGTAGGGTTCTTTCAGCTCCTTGGTAATGCAGACAGCCTCACGGTGTGTAAATGTGGAGACAAGAACAGCTTCTGTACAAATGAGGGGCTGAAAGTCAGGTGACGGTTAAAGTAGCCTTTTTGGGGGGGTTTAATTATTTTTTCCCCTCCAGAGAAAAAGTCAACCACCACATTAATCTATATTGGCTAGAAGAAAAATTTGAAAAAATATTTTCTTTAAAAAAAAAAAATTACGGGAGGAAAAGTTTGTTGTAGAAAATATTAGCTTCCCCCCCCCTCCCCAGTTTTTTTTAAAGCCACCTGGCTTTCTTAAGAAAAAAAAAAAATAATCTGCTCTTCAGATAACACTTTTCCAGTAATGTTTTGTTTGGCTTATAAATTTGTTCCAGTAAAGCCATATACTGTGTACAGTACGCCTCGAGTCTTCCTCTGAGTCTGTTCTGTTTACTAATATGGCATTTTTATTTTGCTTCTTTGACTTGTGCGTGGTTTGAAAAGCAATGCTAATGCAGTTCGCAGGGATGTTGAATGTAACAGTTCCCCGTTTGAGCCGCCTGTACTGATGAGCTGGGTTTATTCTTTATTCCTGCCTTCCTCTCGGGACCCGGGTACTTGTCTAACCAAATAGACTGACAGTGAGCGGACGGATACTGCGGCTGACGGTGAGACCACTGCCACCGAGGTTTGTACAGTCGCCGGTGCCCAGTTACGGCAGGGGAGAGCGTTGTGCCTCGTCCCTTCCCGGCCGGGCATAAGGGCAACACCGCATGTCTGCTGCGGCGGGGCAGGACCCCCTCTGCGCACGCGTGGGTGTGCGTGTGTGTGTGTGTGTGCACGGGCGAGAGCTTTGCTGGCGGGGAGTTGAGTTTGCGGTGCTCCCTACGGGTTCCTCTTATTTCTGTGTTTGGTTTGGAAACGGTGAGGCCCCCGTGCCGGGGTGGTGGCGATGGCACTGGCACTGCCACCTACCCCAACGCCGCCCGCCTGGGCGGTCCTGCCAGCCCCACTGCGCCCTGCGTTTTTCTGTTTGCTTGTTTGCTCTTGTCGTCTGCAGCCTGTGCCAGAGAGAGGGGGGGGAAAGACAGTAAAAAGCAGTTTTCAGATTTTCTGGATAAAGGTATTTCCACATTATAAATATCTAAGGTTTTTCTTGAATGTAATTTCACGTATCATCTTCACATATTGCCACCAGCAGTCCAAGTATTGTCTTCAGAGGAGGAACGTAAAAAAAAAAAAAAAATTATATTTTCTTTGCACTGAGAAGCCTCATACCCACCACATGGTATGTAGACTATGCAGGCAGATTCAGCCCTCTGTGATTCCGGTGAAGTGCATATAATGCTTTCATAATTAATGTGGTTGCAGCTGCAAACATGAGCTGAATTTGGTCTGACATCTGGTAGGAGACAGAGTCTTACCACAAACACTACTGTAGGTTTTCAGTAGGGTCTCGTTAATATTTCAGACTGTTAAAATTATCATCAAGGAAAAATTCTCTGTGTGACACGTCAGGGCAATTCAGCCTTGACTGTAAATAGAATGGATTTGAACCAAGTTATAAAGTAATCAACAGATTTTTTCCCATGGATCGTTTGACTAATTAGGACTATACGAAAAAATAACAATAAAATAGTGGCACAAGCGTTAAAAGAATCAGAACAGAGCAACAACGTGAAGTCTGTTGAGACGAGTCAGGAGTACCAAACGCTTTGAAGTGCCTCTTGCACTTTATAGCTTCAGGCCGTGAGCCCTCCAGAAAGTAAACCATCATCCTAAACCCCTGCCAGTTAAAATGTTCAGTTTATTATTCAGAAACGCATGATAATGTCCCTAGCTGCCATCTTTCTTTTAGGGGAGAAGATTTTGTGAACCTCAGTTTTCCTTACGGACACCTGATTTGCAAAACGCGTGGTCTGCTTGCCGTCTGAAAATCCAGCCCTCGGAGAGGGCTCCTTGGGCAGTCCTTGTGTTGCTTTGGAAAACGTGAGCTGCAGTCAGTCGGATGGGTGTGCCGTTCCAGAAGACCACCATTGCAGATAGGGCCTGAAAGAACAGATACAGGCTAAATATGAAATAAATCATATAAATACAGAGAGGGACTGAGATTAGGGACATAGCATCTTAAGCAAATAAAATGTACTTCATTCTGTAGAAGGTGTCGCAGGTTGTTTACCCGTGGTGGGTTAATGCAAAGCTCTGTCTGCAGCCTAGGAGGTGGTGTATGTTTAAAATCTGGGATTATGGACTTGCGAAGAATTTGCTCTTGCCATTCAGTCCTAAACCAGCTGCAATCTCGGTGAGAAGGTCCAGCTGCTGCTCCCTAAATAGAGATCTGTGAACGTGGAGTGCACCAGTATTTATAAGAGGAAAACATGTAATACTCCTTCGTTCACAAATAACACATTTGAAAAGAGAGGGTTGCTCTGAGTTAGGAGAACCGTGCAAAGCCACCCAGTGTGTCTGCTCCTTCTCCTTAAGCCCTTAACATAGAGAAAATGGGATTTTAACCTAGTGTGTTCCTCTCGCCAACTTTTGTAAAGCCTTTGCTCGTACGAGTGGGTAAGGTGGTGTTTTCTAATCTTTCTCATGCTGGCAGTCGGATCAAGAGGAGGACGGAGATCTAAAGGCACAGGTACAGAAACGAAAGGCATAGACGTTGCGCAAGTACCCATGTTGGAGGTGTTCACCTCTCTCAGCATGTTATTGTCGGGTCTCTGTGAAGAAATGTGTAGAAACAGCATTTTGTATCCTTTCAATACTGTGTCCCTTACCTTTCCCTTTCTTTTTCACTTCTTTCAGAATAGTCTGATTAAGCGAATACAGGGTGAAAATGTGTATGTCAAACATAGTAATCTTATGTTAGAGGTTGGTATTGGTATATACCAGTGCATGTACGTACATGTGTGTTAGTTTTAGTGGTAAACTGTGAATCTGCACTATGATGCATGAACTGTGTATTCCCACCTGCTAATAAATTCAATACATTTTTTTTCTCAGATTATGAGAACTCCTCTAACTTGTACTATAAATACAGATATATATGTGCGCGTATATATGTGTGCATCCACGCGCATATGTATGTTTGTGTGAAGCCTCTTTATCAGGTGTATATATTATAGCGATACGGATAAGCTCTTTAAGAGTGTATTTATACTCACTTGTACGAGATATGCTATGCTGTTATCTTTCAAAATGCCACATTTTCACAGAGTGTTGTGTTAGTGCTGTGCTCCCCGGCTCCCTGAGATGTTACTTCCCTCTTCACTAACCAAGTTGTGTGTTTTGGCTCTAAAGTTGGGTTGGCTCAGGATGTATTACAAACTGCTCTGTTCTTTTAAAACTGTCCAGGACCTAGACAAAACCCAGGAAGATCTCATGAAACATCAGACCAATATAAGCGAGCTGAAACGCACCTTCTTGGAAACCTCCACAGAAACGGCTGTGTCTAACGAGTGGGAGAAGAGGCTTTCCACATCTCCCGTTCGGCTTGCAGCAAGGCAGGAGGATGCTCCTATGATCGAACCACTAGTGCCTGAAGAGGTCAGCGGGAGCTGAAAGGCTTCCTTACCTATTTGTCTGTTCCGTTTCACTTACAATAGCTCTCAGTAGATTAGGGACCGTAGTTAGAGGCCATTCCCCGCTTGCCCGTGCTCCCTTTTTTGGGGACTCAGGCTCTAGCAGCAAAGATGCAAGGAGAAGCAGATACCTTTTCTATATGTATTTACAGCGTGAAATTCACTGGAAGCCACGTGGCAGAATTGGGTCTCTCTGAGGGTGCGAAACGCAGGCTTCATTACAGGATCGGTGAGCTTGAGGGAGTCCAGCCATGCATGAAAGAAACCGTGAAGGTGATGGAGAGAAAATTTAAATAATGGTGACTGGTTGGGAGCAGCAGTGTAGCGGGATGGATGGGGCTGCGGTAGCAAGCTCGACAAGAAAATACAGAGCAAAGGGCAGACTCTCTCAGTCTTTGAAGATGAGGAAGAAATAATGATGATAATTAGACCTGCTTGGCCAGTTCCATAAGGGAATTACGATAGTTGCTGCAGTCTGCTGGATACCGTCTCGTTGAAGACCCGATGCAGATTGCTAAGCGTGTGCATTTTCATGCAGTGTGCATGCGTGAAAAGATCTTGCTCACTGTGCGGTCTTGAAGTGTCTGCAAGAAACTTGCCAATTATAGAGCTGCCTTTTATTAAGTTAGTGGGTAAATAAGGAGATGTAGAGGTAACAATGTAACATTCACGTTGCTGTAAAATACATAGATCCTGAAAAAAAGGCAGAGAGTCTTGGTTTAAAAAAGTTTATTACTTTAGAAATTTAGAAAGTTTATTACTTTAGAAATTTAATAACAATTTTTAGTTAAAACACAGAAGCAGCAGCAAAGCATTACATAGTTATGTCAGCTTCACCCTGAGGAAACGCATCCGAATTTAACCATGGATTTGGAAAGGAAAAGGGCAAGAGTTATCCGTATCTGCCATCTCTTCTCTTACTGGAAGAAAAAGACTTGCAATGTCCAGTTACTGTGTCTTGCATGCATCTAAGTAAACCACAGCTGTCCCGCAGAGTCTCATCCAAATGAAGGTGTTTCTGTGGAAAAATGTGAGTGGCTTTGAGTTATCAGGGCCTAACTCTGCGGTGACGTGTGGCCCTAAGGGACCCCTGCTGTAGATAACACCTGACCATCCTTTTGGTGTCCTGCTACGAGGGATGGTTGCAGTTCACATGTCCTGCTGAGAGAGGAATTTTTCAGAAAAAAGCTGAAGCCGTGCACAGGTGAAAATCAGCACCTTGATGTCTACTAAGAAATGCGGAGGCAGCCAGGACAGAGAGCACGTAGAGCTGCATTACGTAGTGGCTTCTTCTAGTTGAAGAAGTTACATGTTTAACTTAGCATATCCACTTTTAAAATGTGTTCAGTGCTGTTACCTGTAGCTCTTTAATAGGATAAAACAAAAACAGAAGGGAAAATACACCTTTTCAAAATGTGCGCTTTGAGCATTTGGCACCTTTAAGGCTGTCTAATCACCAGTTGGTTTCTTAACATAATAGGGGAAATACTTTGGTTTACTTTCATTAGGAAAAATACAGTTTTAAATCTCTGCCGTGATGGTGGCCAGATAGCAGCAGAACATGAAAGCTGGCATATTAACACACTCCTTGACAATGTTTAATCTGACCTGGACTGGATTAAACCAGCACTTGAGAAATAAAGAAGTTACGCAACTCATTGCAGTCAGGGAGATGAGCCGTCTCTCCCTTTTTCTCACTAGTTTCTAGTTTTGTATCTTTAAATGCCTACCGACCTTCTTGAGTGTACAGGGAGTACACGTGTTTTAAAGAGTACCCTTTTATCATGCCAGTCAGAGTACTCCCGTTGGCATGTCCAACGAGGACGCGAGCCGTTCAAGTGAGTAGAAAGGGTTTGGCAAGAAACCGGCTTTTCTCTGTGGGGGCTTGCTTGCTCCGGTCAAATGACAAAGGGGGCCAGCCCAGAAGCTGGGCTCCGAGGGCTTAGGGAACCGACTCTTGCCAACATTTGAAACTTTCCCAGTTGGTCAAGTTGCAGAGATACTCTTCGTGTTCTTGCAGCATCGGGGGGGCACTGGTGGGATAAAAGCAGGTAGGGTTTTGGTGTCACGCTTCAGCAACGGTGCGGTGATGGTTAGGTTCCTGCAGAGGGAAGGCTGGGAGACCTCTCGTGCCTGTAGGGAGGAAAGGAGAGGTGCCGGCTTTGCCGGGAGCCCCCCTACCTCAGCGGGGAGGGCTCCAGGCTCCGGAGAGAGCGAAGGCCAGGGCGCAGGTGGAGGGGCCCGTTCTCCGCTGTCGAGGGCAGCCGCGTACGTTGGCACCAGACGCGGTTACCTGAACAATACGAGATGGACACCGTGCATCCCCACCCGGGTGTTACTCAGTTTAGTGGTTTTCGTGCTATGCAAATGGTATGCTCGTGTCTGCTTGGTGTTCGTCACAGAGAGACACTGGTTTTGCTTCTTATTGGAAACCTCTCTGCTGTAAAATTATTCTGTTTAATTCTGATTCCTAATTTACCGTGCAATTAATAATTTGTAGAGTAGAGAAATATGATGAGCTATTGTAAAGTACAGTGGACTTTATACCCTCCATTTACTAAAATCATTTATTCCCCTGACATTAGACCAAAGAAGAAAGAGAAAAATCAGAAAAACTCATATTTTTGCAGAAAGGAGGTACTACATTCCTTGAATTGCAGGTAAAAACAAATAATACTTTTTTGAAATGCGGTCAGGCTGGCAATGATTTATTATTTTATTATCTTTTTTCCTTTCCAAGCCCCCCCTCCCTTTTTTTTTAAGTATTATTTCATCATTTCCCGAGAGACACGTAATCTGGGGGCCAAATTCTGAGGAATGAGTCCCCTCCAGAGCTTACAGCTTCCTAATAGAGACTGCGTTCTCTGCTAGTTAGAAATCTCCTTGCACGGTGCTGTTTGTGGATGTTGTCTGCAGTTGTGCATGCGTTGCCAGCATAAGCCTCACTGAGAACGTTACGGTGAATGGGGCACTTCTGTCATTAGAATGAATTTCCTTTACACTGTCCAGTGAATTCAGATTATGCTGAGTGATGGTGAACTTTGTATTCTTATTGGTTTTTCTATTAGCCAAGTGTGATAGAGAAGAAGCTGCAGGAAGGAGAATCTGCTGGCACTTTGGTTACTTCTCATCAAATCATTATCCAGAAAAGTATCCCATCATCCCTAGAGGTTATTTTTAATTCATTCAATTTTAAACTTCCACATTTGCTTAGTTAAATACAGAAGTTACGGTCTTAAGGTCAAATAACTGGATGCTGATTGCATAGTCAAAGCAAATTGCGTAGTGTATTTGCCTAAGGAGAAGTGGCTGCAGCAGTTCCATTCGGAATCTGTAATGGTAGGGCATTTGCGGTGTTGTACTGCTCCCCTGAAACAATCCTGAAGGGGTTAATGTTATTCTAATGAAAACAAGGAAATTCAGTGCTGGCTGCAGCTACGTACAAATGCATACTGTTCTAAAACCTCTTCAACAGTGGGTTTGTGACAGCTGGGGAGCAGCTGAATGGGCTTATTTGCCCTATTTTTGTAACTTGGTTTTGACTGTAGCATTGTGAACCATGGTGAGATATGATTTTTAACCTCAAGATGATTCCAATCGTCATTTTAAATAATGTGCTAAAATGCTATTCTGCTTCAGATGAATACAGAAATGGTGTGGCAAAAGTAATTTTTTGTGTCCATGTTACATGGACCTCTAAGGGGAGGGAATATGCAGAGAAATCGTACTTTGCCTAAGGTGATTCTGGTTTTGTTTGATAACTGCTCTAAGAGGTACAGTGGTAAAAGTTACTATATGCTTTCAGAAGAGGCAGCATTGATTTCTTAAAAGTCTTCATACTTTAGTGCTCCTGAAGTACAGATAAACCTTTAGGTATTCTAATTTAGCTTTTATATCTCAAATATAGGGCACTGAGGATTGGGTTATTATAGACAAAATACCCTCTGAGGTAGTTGATGGTGAATCGAAAAAAAATCTGGCATACAAAGTAGTGACTGTGAGCAGTAAAACTGCCTTTCCACCTGAGATATTAAAATCCAGTACCGTTCTAATGCAGAGCTTTGAGGACTTGGAAAGTGAAATACAATCCAAAGAGGAGAATAAGCAGAAAATGTTCACCCTAGGAAAGTCCTATGATACCGTATCTGGGAAAATTGTAACCATGACAAGCAAAGCTAAAGAGGGCGAGAAAGCAGTAGAGCCTTCAGTAGAAGCTTTGCAAAAAATGGAAAGGGAAGTGCAAGAATCTGTGAAAATCATTCCAGCAGTGGGCAAGTATGAAATCCTTCAGCCTGTGACTGAAGAGAAAGCCAGGCGGGGATCCGATGTGCCGAGCACGAAAAGAAAGCTGTCCGACTCTCTGACACCCATAAAGGAAGCAGAATCCCACTTGCAAAGCCCTGAAGAGGAGAGTTTGAAAAAGGCGCTGAAGGTGGACCAGGAGTTGCAGTTACGTGGTACCCTGGGAAGCGAAGCAGAGAAACACCTTGGCGGTGAAGCTGTAAGAGCCGGGGCGTTTGCCCGGAGAGATGAGAGCCTGTCTGAGTGGAGATACTCCAGAGAACAGCCACTTACCATCGCTACTGCTCACTATGTTACCGAGTCGTCCGCGTCAAAAGTGGTGGTAACAAGTGGCTTTGACTTCATGCCACGGTTTAAAGATCAAAGCATGACCTCTTTTAGGCAATCCCCTCACACCACCCTACCTTTCGGTTCTCTTGCTGCCTGGCTTTATGTTGACAGCAGCCAACCCAGCTTATTTTTTTCCCCCTCATACTTTGAATCCGTCCCACGGTCTGAAGCAGACATTATATAAGGCTTTCAACCTTTCTGGTTTATTTAAACATCCATGTTACTGAAATGTAGTATTGCTGCTGTGGCTTGTTAATAAAAGGGAAAAAAAAAAAAAAAAGGTTTGCTTGAACCAGCAAAATGCCAACGCTAACAACTATGCTTTGTAACTATTGCTTACTACAGCCATTATGAATTTGCTCTGATTTATTTTCCCATTCTTTTCCTGTTTCCGACCTCTCTGTGCCCCCGCAACCTTCTCTCCCTTTCCTCCGTCTCTACCTCCAGTTTTGGCAATTAATACGTCTGTGCATGTGGGTCTGCCTTTCTTCTGTGTATGACTCTACATTTCTTTGTCTATTTAGACTAAACAGTTCACCAGTGAAAAAACCTTGGACGGTTCAGATATCTTCAGTTTAATAGAGTCTGCCAGAAAACCGACTGAGTTCATAGGAGGGGTCACTTCTACTTCGCATAGCTGGGCGCAGGTGGCCGTTTGATTCCCTCCATCACCGTTATAACCGCACGCCAACTACTTTTGCTTTTGTTTCCTGTTTTTATGCATAACTTGGAACCTGTATGACTGACGCATGTATTTGTGTGCCTTTCCCTTTGTTACAATAGACCACAATAGAAACTTCACTGAAAAGAAAAGGAAAACAAAAAACCCCAGGTTTTCTCTCATTTCACTTTATTTTGGTCATTGTGCAGGGTGCTGTATTTTGCCTTTATAAAACTCACGCAAAAATATCAACACTGTGACATTTCTCTTCACTTTTAAAAATTGAGATTCTTGCTTTGTTTTTCATTTCTGCTGTTCTGATAACGTCATGAGAATGAAAATCCATGCAACGTGAGAGAGATAAATTGGCAAAATGTAATACCCATTTTTTTATTTATACTCACAGTACACTAAGTCGACGAGCTCTTGCAAGTAGTGTTGTCTGCTTCTGACGCTGAGGGGTGGGTTTTTTTTTTCTTCTCCTTCCCTGCAGAGAATAGACACGACGACATCTCAGGAGATAACTTCGAGTGAAATGAAGGAAGCAGTTCAGCCGCAACAGGATACAGTGAAGAAGATTGTCCAGGAGACTGTCGTGATTGAGGAGAGACGTGGGATGGATGTGCGTGCAAGCGGGGATCCTGCTAAAGTGGCCGGACTTGCGCTGGATGCCCAGGCTGCGGCAGCACCGGCGGTGGCTGCTGGTGTGAAAGGGAAGGAGGGCTCTGCTGGGACTACGGGGAGCGCGGAGGATGAACGGGAGGAGGCTGGGAAAGCCCTGAGCAAACAGGCAGGAGCCGCTGCTGCCGCCGCTTCCTGCAAGCAAGCGGAGGGGCACAGTACCACCGTCCACCCTTCAGAGTCGTTGGAAAGAAAACCTCATTTTGAGGTAACTTGTCATTAAATCGGTCACGTCTGTGCTGAAATGCGAATGTAGGCCGTAGCGGACCAAGTTAATTCCTGTCATGGGAAGTAAAGCGTACCAAGCTCGTGTGATTGCGTCTTCACAGCAGGCAGTTTGTTTCTCCTCTTACTTCCTCCTTGCCTGGCACCTGCGAGGCTTGTTGCTGGCTTCCATCACTGGCCACATGCCATGCATGTTTTACCTAAAAGCACTTTTCATGCTACAGAGAAATACCTAATTCGGTGGCATTTTATGCAATGGATAACAAGAATTCAGCTGGCATTCTCTTTGGGGAGGTCCATCAAGATTGCCAAAGTTCATGTGTCCTCAAAGCCAGAAAATACATTGGTTTTTCCATGCTTGGTACAATTGTAAATAAACATACTGTGTCTTAAACAACCCGGGTTCCTTGTCTTAGCCCCATTAGCAGAATTTCAAGAACTGTTTTGCAGAGGAGTTACAAAAAATTTGTTCTTGCTCTTCTTTTCTGAGAGCTGAATGGAAGACTAAGCCTGGACAGGATTCGTTCTCTTGATATTTTAAGAAAATGTAGAATCACAAGATCCCAGAGTGGCTGAGGCTGGCAGGGACCTCTGGAGGTCACCAGCTCCAACCCCCCTGCTCAGGCAGGGCCACCCAGAGCTGGTTGCCCAGGACCGTGTCCAGGCAGCTTTTGAGTATCTCCAAGGATGGAGACTCCACAGCCTCCCTGGGGAACCTGGGCCAGTGCTCGGTCACCCGCACAGTGAAAAAGTGTTTCCTGATGTTCAGAGGGAACCTCCTGGGTTTCAGGTTGTGCCCATGGCCTTTTGTAGTGTTTGGGTCTTTTCTGAAGTTTGTTTTTGTGAAATCCAGGATAGTGCTGAATGTTGCCAGCATGATATACATGTATGTACCACGGTAATGAAGAGAATTTTCTCTTTTTTTTGTTAACTGCAGAGCACTTTTTAGTTGCTCCCCCTCCTTTTCCCAAGCAAAAAAAAAAAAATGTTCTGAGAAATCCATAAGCTTTGCTAAATGTTCCAATTCCTTTTTTTTTGTTCACGCAGTCGCCAGTTGTGAAGACTGAGACTATCAGTTTCAGTACTGTTCCTGCTGGTGGGGAAAACCTTGAAATTTCAACAAAGGAAGTGCCAGTAGTCCATACAGAAACAAAAACCATTACGTATGAGTCTTCTCAGGTAAGCAATTCTGCAAAAGCCAGGGTCTAATTTAACATGTCCTTAGGGAACCCATGTTTCTTCACCCGTCTTTAAGTGTATGCCTTAGTGTAAACTGTTCGAGGTTGTTCAAGCATGAAATATTAGCATGAGGAGGACGTACACAGGAATAGCTTGCCTGAGGGTGACTCTGCTGTCCTGGTGTAGGGCCTGTTGAGAACATTGATGAAGCTACAGATTTCAGAGTCCCAGCTTCTCATCGGGAGTCGCCAGATGCAGAGAGAAATCCTGACACGTGATCGCCCTAATAGCCGTTATTTCTCTACCATTAGATACTCACTTTATGAAGAATTGTAGAAATCGGGAAGTTCAGCCAGTCCAGTCCTTGCCTCCCTGTGCTCAGGAGCATGTTTTTGGTGACTGGTCTTTCTCTTTGGGTTCCCTAGGTGGATTGTGGTGCTGACTCAGAGCTGGGTGTGTTGATGAGTGCACAAACTATCACGTCTGAAACCACCAGTACTACAACCACTACACATATCACCAAAGTGAGTCCTCGGAAACAGGGAGTTTTTTTTTCCCCAAGGGTGTATGTTTTCTTAACTTCAATTCTATTACTTATTGTAAAACGCAGACACGTGCTTATACTCTCTGGACAAAACCCTGTCTGTTTTGGGTACCTGTCTTCATTCACCTGTCTTTGGCAATGCTGGCTTCATTAATGCATCATCCAAGGACTTGATAAGAGTCCTGAGAGTCACAAACCCTTAGGGTATGTCTATGCAAGCACAAAAGCTTGCTGTGCAGAGACACTCGAGTTAGCTGCAGATGCTGTCTGGGACTGGGAGCAGTGTAGCCATGTCGGCATCATCTGGTTGTAGCCTGGAAGGAATAATTGGCCTGAGGGTGAGGCTCCATTGACGTGACTGCACTGCCTTTAAATCCTGAGCTATTATCCCTGCTCGGTGTTGAAAGCACACAGTAAATCTGAGGGATGTGGTCAGAACAGGACGTTCAGTCGGCTCAGACGCCAGGGTCGCGTTGCTGGGTGGTACCCTAACGAACGTGCTCACAGCCAGGCCGAAAGCTTGTGGCTGCACAGACCAGCGATGTTGGGTCTTCCAGGTTCTGAGACAGCATTTAAGTAACAGTTCCTCCCTCAGTAGAAACCCCCTTGCTGCTGTGACAGCTCTCCTACCGATGTTCACTGAGGACAGGATTTCATCTTTCTGCGGTGAAATTCACCCTTCGGTAGATGAGCAATACAAAGGCTGTACTGCCCTGTATGTCCTTCTGAAGCCTGCAGTTGGACTTAGCTGGGTTTTGATGTGAGCCGTGTCTGTGTGTCCATTCTTTTCTTCACGGGATGAATTTACCATAAATACCTGCCATTTTGGGGACACAAACATCTCTCCTGCCACGTGTGCAGACGGAGCAGAATTATGACATTATCTGTGTTGGAAGGAGCTGCGGAGGTCACCTCGTCCGTTCAGAGCAGGCCGACTTCGGAGCTGCCCTGGGTGCCGTTCGGGGCTGTCCCCTCTGTGCGTGCTGCTCGAGGCAGTTCTGTCCGGTCGCGTCTGGCTTCCCGCGCTGACCGTTCTCTGGATGAGTAGCAGCACTCTTCACAGTAAGTGACTGACCTGCATTTGTCCCTCCCATCTAGACTGTGAAAGGAGGCATCTCAGAGACAAGAATTGAAAAACGAATAGTCATCACGGGAGATGCAGATATTGATCATGATCAGGTAAAATCTATAAACTGCTGCAGGCTACCCTGAAGACTGCCAAAGAGAACATTTCTAAACATTGCTTTAAAAAATGCTATTCCTACTGGCATGCCTTAATTTAAACTGGATTAGTAGTTAACTCAGTGATGGTATATTTCATATTTTAGTCATTTTCCTCATTTGTAAATTGTGTAATATCTCATGAATCTTTCCACCTTGCTACTGATCATGCATGTTCCACCTCCTTTTTGTTTTTGCCCTTCTGTGGTTTCCTTGGGATAGGCGCTGGCTCAGGCAATTAAAGAAGCCAAAGAGCAGCACCCTGACATGTCAGTGACCAAAGTAGTGGTACATAAAGAGACAGAAATCACACCAGAAGATGGGGAGGATTGACCACAGGTAAGAGGACCAGATGATTTTCCTAGGCATTTACTGGGCTGGCATGTTGCAAATGCTGTTTTCCTACCATAATCCACCTCTAACTCTTTGCTTTCTCTCACTGGCACTTGCAAGTTGCGTTTGTGCTGGTTCTCAGTTCTGGTGTTTGAATGTAAACCACATTCAGCTCTAAACGTCTGTCTTCGTTTAATGGTGCCAGCTGGAGAAAGAGAAACGACTCATTTGCTTTTGTTGCCTCTCGGAAAGTCCTCATTGTCCATGCTTTGATACAGTCTAATGTTCTAATTCTGAAGTAAAAAAAAAAAATCTGTTGTCCGCTTTTGTGTCATTTAAGAACAAAAGTAATTTGTTCTTAAAGGTGTGCATTTTGTTTAAAAATGCCAAGGGAAGAACCTACAGCAGCTTTTTAAATGTCCCACGCAGATATGTTACAAGTTAAGCTTTAATTCCTAACTTGCAAAGATACTTGCTTTTGATTTTTCTTTTAAACCCAGCGAATTAGTGTGTTAGTATTTGGATGGCTTGGCTTTCTTGTATTTGGAAGAACATTTTCTGTTTTAAAGCAGCGTTGTTTATCAGGATGAATTGATAATGCAGCTTTTCTTGTGTCAAGTTTTATTTCAGTAAAGGCATGCTCTCCAGTTGTGGCTGGCTAAACAGACGTCTTCGTATTACTATATTTATTCCGTGTGCAAAAACACGTCATGCATACTAACCTGCTATGCCAAAGCCGTTAATGCCAGCACCATTGCACAAATTGCTTCGAATGCTGTATGCGGAAGGGGAAAAAAAAGCTGCGTGTCCGCCTTGTTTCAATCGATAGCAGCATTTTATTCTTAAAACAATACATACTCCCTGGCGCTTGGTGTAAGTAACAGAGTACAATGCACAGCACCTTTTGAAGCTGTTTTGCTCTCCTGCTTTTGGATATACAGACCCTAGAGAAAACTGAATTTCAGGGTCTGTGACTTATTTGGAGGACGGAACCAGTCCCTGAGGAGTGAGTAGCTGTGATTCTTGTGGTATTGTGCTCATTGTTTCAGGGACAGCGCAGCGTGGCTTGCTTCAGAGTCTATTGGTGTCACCAGTTCTTTCCGTTGGCATCAGTGGACTTGGGGTTTGGGCCAAGTTGCTCGTACTGGGACGATGCCGTTTTCAAATCGCTTTTGTTACACAAACAAGTTGACAAAATGTCATTTGCAAGAGAGGAGTTGCTTTAAATAATTAACTCGGTTCTCTTTCCTGCAGGAATAACCTGGATCGCCTGTGAATCCAGACATGCACACCAGTAGGAATACGGGAGCCTACACGGAGTCTCAGTTCCCACCTGACTGACTTGTATCTGTCTATGGAAAATTTCAGTACAGAAGAATTGATCCTGACCGTTAATAAAGAAACTGGCAGAGATACCTTCCCATAGAAAGCAATCTGAATCAGCAGCAGTTAAACAATATTGCATGAAGCAACAATAAAATTACAGAAAAGCAGCATTTTTAATTTTCTTAAAATGTCTAAGTTTTCAGCTATACCTGCACGTTCATAAACAATATAAACAGTGATCTCATGTAACACATAAACAGTCCATGCCTTTCACAGTTTATGGAGGTCTAAACAAATTAAAATTTGTTAGGTGGCCAACCTTTTGTTTACGGATATTGTAAATGAAGATTACCCCCAAAATGCTAGAAGCTGTCTAGGTTCAGTGTATAATGTTTTACCACACAGTAGATGTGCCAATAACACAGTTTATTCAGTAAACAACTTGAATCTTATATTTGTTTCATCTGGTTTTATTACTGCCCGATAAACAATGATGAATCTTTACTCTTATCGAAATATTTAAATGCTTACAAAGTGTGCTTTGTATACCCGACTGAATACCTTACGAGGTAGTAATGATTTTAGTATATTAACTTTAACAATTTTTGTCGGCGTTGTTCAGAGTCAGCTTCCAGTCACCCTTCACAGATCCTAACCTTGTAAATTATATGTAGTTATTTTGGAGAAAAACAAAACAAAACAAAACTGTATTTTACTTAGTTTGCAGCTTTAGAAAATTATTAATCTGAAATAACCGTGATGGTTTTCTATTGATTTCCCTTTTGTTCTCAGAGGAAAAAAAAAAAGAAAAAAAAAAAAATCTGTTTGAGAATCTGGTCAGCATTTACTCTGTAGTTCAGAGCCAAGCCTTAACCTGTACAGAACGTCCACTGAAAACTCGTTAGTGTCCAGCTGTAACACCCACCGAAGGGATAGCGTCCATTACACTGTCAGCTGCATCACAACACATGGTGAATGTATGTTTCTGCATAGTGAAATAAAAGTGGTAAATGCATCCAAAATTGTATTGTTCTGTGTCTAAAAGCACCTGGTGTTTTTCAGTACTCCAAATGTTAAGTGACATTTGTAAGACAGCACAGGTTTTACTTGTCTGCACAGGAGATGGGTTTCGTCTTCAGCGGCTGACGCTGCTCTGCGCAGACGGTTGGAGGTAGCGGAGCATCCCAAGGGATGAGGGCGTTCACCTTTGGGCAAGTGATGTTTGCAAAGGAAAAGGAGTATTTGGTTCCTTCTGCTTTCTCTGGGTGCGTACCGTTTCACCGAAGGTAAAGGAAGGATTTTGTGGTTGCTTAGAAAGTAAAGGCCAGTAGCGGTTGATCCAGATCCACTCTCTTTTTGTACTTTTGCTCTGAAACATGGATAAAATTCTCTTTAAAGCAGTACTTACTTATCTGTTCCTTTTTCTTGCTCCTTTGCCACATCTTGTTGACGCTCCACTGGTAGTTCAAGAGAAATTCGTAACAATTAATTCACCCTTCAGTCTGTATTTCCTTGCAGGAGTGGAAGAAATGGGTACAAGCAGACTTTTCGGGACATAAAGGGCCAAATCTGCCCTGTGGTGTTTACACAGGGCTCCCTCCCATTGAAGTCAGTGGATTTGGCTTCAGTGGAGAGCAGGATTTGACCCAGTGACTTGTAATAAATGTTTATTTTCTTAATTTAGAAAGAAAAATAGTATGTATAGAGAGAATAACCTATAGCTAATAATGAAAAGTAATATCCCAAGGCTTTTAAAGCTTTGCCCTTAGTCTCTAAAACGTCTTCCTTCCACCAGCCATCTTCATGCCTCTAATCGAGCGGTAACTGTGTACC